TTGGACATGACAGTGAATTACCCACGCATTATTAACTTCTTCATTATATAGTTAAGAATGATTAGTTTCGGAATTTTTCCATATTATTGTCTGAGAAACAGGCAAGTATTCGATGATAGGAGTTTGGGTCGGCCACATAACCTGAATGAATGTGGTTTCTGAGAGAAAAATCCTTATCCCTGTTGGAAATCGTAACCCTTTCGTACAACCACTTTAATAACTGAGCGATCCCGACTTATAAAGACTGCGAAATCTGCAAAATTAATTATGCTGCTGGCGTAATTTGTTGTTTTACGTAAACATCTCAAATATTACCCACGTAGATGTCAGTTTTTTGCTCTCTAGAGTAGATCTGTCCAACTTCAGGTTAGAATTAAATCCTGTATTGTGTTTGCACCTGCCTGATCAAAAGTAAAGAATTGATAAACTCTCCTTCAAAAAGTCATGCAACACAGATTATTTGTCCCCGTGTAAAACCACATAGTGGGCCTTATTAATGACTAGGAAGGGAAGAGCAGTAGCCTCAAATCAATAAGAAGTGTTCAGATTTTGCAAACGAAGAAAGAAAATCTCGGATAATGCTCTGCTTTGACGGCAGAGTAAAGGCCGTAATTCGGCAGCGGACGTAATTTAGTATCGAAGTCTAGATAATCCAGAATGCTGCAAGTACGACTTGAGAAAACTTGAATAGAAGTAGAATTTTTAAGTATATTTATTTCTTTTTCGTGAAACCAAATCTTTGCACACTGCTTATCACAACGTTTACTAATTTCACTGTAAGAGATGTGTTAACCTTAATTTTGTTGCATTTCTAGTAACACGTGCAAAAGTATATTTTTTGAACAAGACGTACAGTGAAGGAAACGAAAGTAATCCATCATGTAAACGTGGGTCTGCATCCACAGAACAAAGCCTCTCCAACTTGTCAGCTATGAAACAATATAGCCATTGTCTGTAGAAAGCAATTAACGGTGAATATCCCTTCCAAGACTTTTATCATCCCCTTTTCATTGCAAAAGTTTTCTATGGAAAGCACATAAATTTCCCAGCGCATAATATAAATTATATTGTAGATAATATTTATCAGTTTACGGGATAGTAAACTGTTATAATGACATTTTAAAATCCTAATAAAGTAGCTGGCAATGACGACTTCTTATGTCTACTTAGTGATCTCTAACACATGCCATCCAATTGTCACATAACATCCAGCAAATAAATTTTTGAATAAATGATGCATGATTTTCTATCAGTTATAGATTTATTTATATCAATATAATAGAACGTAATGCAGTTAAACACTTAGGGCTTATGAGAACTTACTCAGAGCAATGAGTCGGCAAGTAAAATATAAGAATCACTGTGGGATATAATAGTCCATGAAAAAAAATATTCTAGTACTTTCTTAGAAATAAAAACCCTGGCTCACGCACTGCATCTAGTAGTAGCAGTAGTAGTAGTAGTAAAACATTGGTAACTGCGTACAAGACTAAACAGTATCACAACACAGCAGAAAATAGTCGATAATGATTTCGATTTCTGACATTAGTATTTTGTTATTAATAAATTAATATATTCTGCGTTGTTTAAATTGGCTCTTAACGTCGCCAATGAGTATATTGTTACTTTTATAAGTTTGATATTGAGTCAAGTTACAATTCTATAGGTCTGAAATGCACCGGTATTCTGCATATAATAAACCAAATGTCACATACGAGGGTGTTTCAAAAAGTAACAGCAAATTAAATATTTTGAGATATATAATTTAATTAGAGATACAAATGATATGTCATTTTTCTACATAATCACCCTCCTTGTCAATACACTTCTCGCACCGTTGCACTAATTTTTTTATTCCATCATAAAAAAATGTTTTTGGTTGTTCCTTCAGCCAGGAATGCACCGCTTCTTTGACCTCGTCATCATTCCCAAATCAACGACCGGAGCGTTGGTCATTACAGATTGATGTTCGCCCATTTTTAAACGCATCTACCCACTCGTACACTCTTCTCTCGCCAATTCAGCATTCTTCTATGAATTTCACGAGGTTTCACACCCTCCGACCACAAAAGTCTGATGATTGCTCGCTGCTCCTCTACGGTGCAAACAGCTGAGGGCGCCGCCATTTCGTATATGCATCCCTTCCAATTAAGTACGCCACGCCATTTATTGGGCAGTGTCAAAACCTTGTCTAAGGACGTATCTTCCCTGTGCGGGAGTTTGAAATGCCTGGGGTTTTCGTTTCGTGAAATATTGTCAATTTGCTGTTACTTTTTGAAACGCCCTCGTATATATCTGATATGATACAACAATTTCACATTCTGAGTATAAAACATTCAAATATCATATAAAATGAAAATACAATTCAAGAAAATTAATTTCATCCGTTACAATTATCTCTTCCGTCATTATATAAAGTGCTATATGAATATGAGAAACAGATCAAAGACAATACCAGAAATTCATATTAATATAATAACATTTTGCGCTGACCAGTTTAATTTTTCTAGCATTTTAATCCAGCCCTTAATGTAACAAAAGTACCACTGTGTATTTTAATCTTTCCGTTTTAAAACAAGTAATTCTAAAATGTAATAAAATCCACACATAAAACTGGACCCGACAGGTTATGACATTATCAAATATAATTCCATCTGGTTCGTTATGCTAGTTTATAATAAATTCTAAGATATAATCGCAAAAACACAATAAAATTCTTATGGTGTTCATAATTGTCTGTATCAACGAAGTTAATTGGAATTAATTCACTAAAATGTGTGCTGTCTTAAGATAATGTTGCTATGATTAACTTAGATAATCTGAAAAATTATATCTAATTATCATTAAGTGCCACGCCATGTACACGTATTGGGGGAGGGGGGAAGATATAGCCACACACATATGCAACCTGTGCACAAGATACAGAAAAACATCAGTAAGTTGTTGATTATCACAAGATTATAATGACGATTGTAAAAGTGTTGATTCACAACGTCAAAAATACAAGTACCTACATTGATTAGATTTAGATTTATTAGTAAAAAAGTGATAATGGAACCACGGTTCCGGAGAATTAGACGTAAATACGTCTATACGGAAAGGAAGTTTATATATAGGCTTTATTCTAAATATTTCCTTTATACATGCTTTACAATTGAGATAAGTTTGATTAAGACTTTGCTTATTCAACTTGAATTAGTTACGCTTAAGATGGGTCTGTGGTAGCTGAATGTAATGTAAGGTAAGGTAATGTAAGGTAAGGTAAGGTAATGTAATGTAAGGTAAGGTAATGTAATGTTTTACAGGTAACAACAATGCCGAGTAAACATATGACGTTTCCTAGGTAACAACAATGCCGAGTAATGTAATGTAACGTTTCCTAGGTAACAATAATGCCGAGTAAATAATTGACGTTTCCAAGGTAACATAACAGTGCAGTTACACTTTTTCGTTCCACTTTCTGCCGAATGACACTGACCCTAAAATATAGACGTATTTACGTCAAAAATGTGTTATGGAATATTATTATTGCACATACAGCAGAAATGAAGTAATTTAATATTGAATTTGGTCGGAAAATATAAAGGAGAAATCACTTGGGAAATTTAAGCGCAGGAGGGATTGGGGAAGGTTATAATGATAAGATACATTTAGAGAAGAAGAGGGGTAGAGTGTGGACTGGATTCTTGTGGCTCGCGGTAGATTCCGGTGACGGGCGGTTGTGAACATAATAACGAAACGCATGGTTCAAAAGAGGTGAGGTTTTAACTGACTGAGTATTAACTTCTCAAGAAAGACGAAAATCCACGAAGTTAATTAAGCTGTTATTTCATAGCACATGTGACAGCAAAGTGTTATACGTTGACAAAGCACACCTTTTATATTAAATCTCCGTGGAACGTTTATAAAGATTTGTTATGAAATTTTCGTCCCGGATAATGAAGCTTTGTGTCTTTATCTACACAAGAACAATTCATTGAAAGTCACAACATGGTAGAGCTAATTCGATCACCTGAAATACTTTTCCACATTTAATGCCCTATGGTAACTGTCACACTTTTCCAACAATGGGTAACTCTGAAGTTCTTACGAATGTCTTACCCGTGATTTTTATTGTAAATAACGATTATTCCCTTAAATACGATTAAAAAATTAATATACGTAATGGAGAAGTGTTATGTTTTCTTTGTGGTGCGGACTGAATTGTTAAATGCTATTTAGACAGGCTTCAAGGTTTAAATATTCTTAAAATATAAATTACATTATAACGTTATTCCAGGGATATATTATAAATCTTTATAATGAAAGGCGTGTAAAAACTTCATATCCAAAATAAAATCTCAGTAGACTAGTAATTTGTAGCACCAAAAATAGAAGTTGATATAAGAAATTATTGAATGCTTAAATATTTCAATATTATTACATTATTTACATGTCTATTAAAATTGATTTACATTTTTTCATTTCATTATGTTTGGCGTTGTGTTGAAAGTGCATGAATATAACGGGACTATTAATCACTCTCTACTTTGAACTGATAAATGGGATCTAAAGATATTTTCAGGCAACGTCAAGCGATACCATCTCCAAATTGCTTATGGTAATATTATATTTTAAATGTCAATGAGCAATGATTTGAGTTAGTATAAATTCTAATTCCGCAGCGATTTCCTAGTAACAAAGACACATAATACAGGGACACAAAGTATGAATTTACAGAAGACAATCTCTTTTATACATCCTGCTAATAAATTTGTGGACAATGCATCAAAGTTGTAGTCATACGTCTGCTAAACTTGAAGACAAACCAGAATCAAATGAAGATATCTGTCTTCTGGGTTGTTGCGCTGTGTAGTCTGGTCGATGTTAACCAACGTTTTAGAGGTCATACTGCCTCTATCATCAGGGCGATAAATATGAAGATTTCTGTCTTCTGGGTTGTTGCGCTGTGTAGTGTGGTCGATGTTTACCAACGTTTCAGAGGTCATACTGCCTCCGTCATCAGGGCGATGAATATCATATCATACTCACCGCTGTGAAAACCTCAAATCTTACAGAATCAAATGAATTTAATTTTTATTTCTCTTTCACTCTTTCACACAATAAACAATCGACATGTCAGAACTCACTTCTTCCGTGGTATTCCTCACAATAAATTATACAGTTACATATTTCAGATAATATAAGTTGTCGCTGATATTCTGTATATTGAAAGTCACGTCCGTTTGTGTCTACACACGTTTGTTGCTAATTAAACTAATCTATGACGCAAAATATTACTGATAGGGAGGGAAAGGTGAGGTGAGATCGTCATTTACACCGCCTAGTTTAAATATGTAAACACATTAAGCGTGCATAAATGTAGAAGCCAACAGAAACGATTTAAAACATATTATAATAAGTTGTATTCTAAATTAATCGGACTCCAAAACTCTAATATATGTAAACTCTGCCTTTTATTGGACGACATAACTTTGGTATTCCAATATCTATATGTCAAATTGGATAAAAATATTTGTGTAGGATTTACTCATTCCCTTTAAATTTTGTTCCAAAATTTATTTTATCGATTAATTACAGTCTCCGTATATATTTTCTGTCGTCCCTTATTCAAAAGAATGTATCGCAGTGGAAAATGAGGGAGCACGTGTCGAGAATCCGCCATCAGACAATTGAGCTATTTCTAACGTTATTCATTGACAGCTGTGGCTGTCACGTGAGATATAGCAATGCCATATTTATTATATCCGGCATTATTAATATATGTAACTACTGATCACGGTGTCGGTTAAGTGTAGGAGCTTAGTCTTAACCACTGGGCCTCCGCGGTGGTAGATTGGACTCCCATTTGAAGCTTCGATGTATGTCCACATTATTATCTGTTGTGTAGTCCACAAAACGATAAAGACATTGCCTTGTCTCACCCTGCGGCCAGGAAGTAATAAGACATATTTAAAACAATATATGCTTTTAAATGTTATCCTAAAATTGAACACGCCGTTAGGCGTAATATGTAAAAGAAAGGATAAAATTATAATTTACATTCAGAAACACATGAGTCTATAAATACATGTGTGTGTGATTTATTTGCTTTTCTCGAGGCTTTTCTTTGTATTTAACTGCAGTACATGCACTAGAATAGGTCTGGGTATGTTGTAAAGAAATGAGAGTGAGGTAAAATGTTAGTTGTTAACTTTGTTTAGTTTTTATTAAAAAGAATATAGTGCATACACAGACTGTGGAATGTATAATTATGCGCGATGTACAGTGTTGTGGGTTATAAAAACAAGTACTAAAAAGAAGGAGGGTTTCAGAACAAGAAAACAGTAGAATTACTGAACTACTGAAAACAATAACCAGAGGATTATGTAAATGCAAACACATTATACAGCTTTACACTCGAGGTACAATCCGACACTTCAGGTTTAAAATATAAGCTCATTCACTGTTGAATTATTAAATGCAAAACACCGAGTATTCCTCTCCTGAGATCGAATTTAACCTCGAACATGATTAATTCAGAAAACGTAAGTATCAAGTTTATTTTTTGAATAGATGTTTAACAATTTCATACTTAGATTCATGCTGCTTGTCCCTCCCATCGTGTTCTCTTCCATTTGTCCGTCCTAATAACATATGAATAGCATAAGGAAGCACGTGTTTCTTCTTAAGTACGAGGAAGGCGGGCTAAAAGTCTGAACAGGACCGTAAAAACTGTCATTAAGTTCTCCATTTATTTGAAACATTGGCATACACACTCTTCTGTCATATGCAAAATGTAGGCAGGAGAGATCAACAGAGTTTTACACAGACTTGAGACGTAAAACCAAACACCTATATGAACTGGGAGCAGGGATAGCTCCGTCAGTATAGTGACTAGACCGGGGTTCGATCCTCGGGTCTCTGCGTCTAGACCGGGGTTCGATCCTCCGGCATCTGCGTCTAGACCGGCTCTAGGGCCCAACCAGTCTCCTATCCAATGGATACCGAATTCCTTTCCCAGGGGTAAAGCCGGCCTGGGCGTGCTGCTGACCACTTACCCCCATCTAGTGCTGAGGTCAAGAAAGATTAGGAGCTATACCTCCACTCCCCCCAAGCGCTTATATGGCGTATAGTGGGACGCTTTACTTTACTTACTATATGAACTGGCATCACCACACGGCAAACATACAGTCAACCCAACAAACCATATAAGGCTTAGTATATCAAGGAATCCACAAATGTCAGAAACTATTCCAATATTTTGAAGTAACTGTACGTTTCAGTATTCAAGAAGTGTATAAGTCAGTTAAGAAGTGATATATAAACCGAAACTTTAAGCACACTGTTAATCGTTAGTAAAACAGACTGGTGACGTATCTGTGAAAGTTTACTTTAACCAACAGCGAAACAGACGCCAATGATAACAAAGCAATTTGCTTCTACTGAGCACAAACCGCGGACCTAAAAGTGTTGGAACGTCAATGTGACTGCTATCCTGCGTACTTGCAGAACGAAAGTATAATTAAGAATGACATAAAATTTAAAAACACTTAAACAATGGGACAGATTTATTAGCACAACTTTTTAACATTATCACTACAACCGCAAACGAAGCTGTCACCTACAGCATGTCCATTCAAGGTAATTTCAAACAAGTAAAGCCAGCTCCCGAAATTGATTCTGTCAAAGTCACGTTAAAAATAAATATAGAATTTCACAGGCCAGTGGCTAGCACTCCTGTCTTGAAATTTTCAGGTATAAATTAGGAAATTCAGATGCGGAGACCGACTGAAATATCCAGACTTTAGATTTTCTTGGCTTTCCTCTATTTCTTCTACCTAATTACGGAAAAGTAGGCCAACTTTAAAATAGACCATAATCACTTCCTTCCACATCCTTTCTAATCCAACCAGAATCACCAACGCTATAAGCATTTTGTAAAAGCGTCGTTAAGTAAATAATGCAAATGTACAAGCTGAGAATAAGACTACTCGTGGAGAAATATAAACGTTATGTTATGATGTACACAAATAAATCTCATTGACATTATTAATTTATGGAACTAAGTAGGAAATTTTATGGAAAGTATGTTCGCAGAATATAAGTTTCATCATCATAAAGTCGTACATCTTAGTTCATTTGTGTGATCTATCGCTCCGCACTTTTAATACGTCGCATCCATTGCTCTAAGTAGCCCAACATTTGGACCTGTGTCAAATGCAAGGTAAACTACGTATTTCTTTGTTCTTCGTTCCCAATACAAGTTGGTCAAAAAATGATAAACTGAATATCACGTATATTCTTAACAACGGGTAAAATTACGTAATTCAATGTTTAAAATTTTTAAGTTAATAAAATATTTCATATTATTTATAAACGCCTTCTGTGACATCAATAATAGCAACAATAATAATAAAAATATAAATATATTTGTCAGAAATTCTACTCAAGCTAAAAATATTGTAGCATATGCATTTCTTAACTCGTACTACAAAGGATAGACCAATAGGAATATAATAATATTAAGATATTATAATTAAATAGCTGGGAAAATCTCACTTTATCACCTCTGTGACGTATGTATTTTAAATTTTGGAAGAAATGCCTTATTTCTAAGTCATTTCTGAGCTCACTTTCCCCAATCTGCATCACTTATCTGCACTTCTACAGTGCAACAATACGTGATCCAACTTACGGGATAAACTTGTCCGAAGTGCCAAGAGGTTACGATAAATGCAAAACTTATAGTTTCCATTCAAAACACAGGATAGGGT